TACAGGAAGAACAGGTCTGTTCCTGCTCTTGAGGGAGTCACCAAGCAAAGTAGCCAACTTCAGTCTCTTTCCTGCTTTTAAATTAGCCCAGCCCCAAAGTGTGGAGTCCAAGATTTCCAAGTTTGTGGCTTGAGCAAAGGAATTTCAGTTCAGAAATTCAGATCAGGCGTCCTCGATAGAGTTCTTTGTTCGCTTTTTCAGTTCCATCCAAGCTCGGTTTTGTATGAATTTTCATAGAAGAAGAAGCAGGGATTCACCGACCACTACTTTGTAGATCCCATCAAATCCTTAAACCTGGTGGCTGCTCAATCTTTGATCTGTGATTCGCCGGCCTCACCCATTTAGTTACACCCATACCCGAACCTATGCCCATACCCATACCCACTCGATACCCGTTTTAAAAACCATGTTGTTGTACAGGCGATTTCCTTGTAATATATGTATATTGTCAATTAGGGAATCGATAGTAATATACAAATCTTGTGGGATTGATTGCTTTCATTCAAAATGACTGTCTCTGATTTGTTTGCTTGTAATATACTATAGCCTACTTTGCCTCCTGGCCATGAAGTTGACTTTGTTTCTTCAAATGATGTCCGTTTGTGTTGATAAAAGCGATGTTTTATCAGCATATAGATAGGATGTGGATGAAGCAAATTAAGTTTTACTGATCTCTGGATGCATCGCTATAGCTTCACTAGGTATTGTGGTTTCTGGACCACAGTTGTGGCCCTTAATTTTCAGTTGTTGTTCATGGACAACGTCAAAGTTGGCCAAGGCATCAGTAGCTCTTCAGCTCTCTCTAACAATGCTAGATTAACTTCTTGCATGTGAATCCCTGAGTAAGCAAATTGCCTTTGTGCTTCTGAAGAAGCAATTTTCTATGGATTTATGCCCCCTCCAATTTGATCCAGTTTCAGAATTTCGAGTTGAACCATCTTCAATTACGGACCAAAGGCAGTTATTACCGTAAATTTTGTTATTTCTAGACGTCCAACATTTGCATCTTTTTTTATCAGGAAAATGATTGAAATAATTTAATATGAATGTATATTTATATTTTAGTAAGATGTGACATACAAATTTAGAGAACAAATTATCATATAATATCTATAAATTATATAATTTTTATATTTTATATTTTTGTTAAATTTAATATAACATTAAATTTTATTTTTTCGGATTGGTTATGGCTAACGAGAGATATACCTATATTTTGCTACTTGGAATGGACATATTATTGATGGAGAAGAAGGACCATGTTATGATAATCCATCAAGAAAGGCTATTAAGGTGACTCGAATGATCAAATATTATGAGTTACTAGATAAACTATATGTTATTACGGGATTTGATAAACAACAAGTTCGATTGAAGATAGTCGCAGATATCCTACGAGTTGTACGAACATCAATGGTCAAGTATACTCGTTTGTGTATTGTTGATGATAGCGACGTAGACATTATGCTTGAAATTCCTTCTATTCATGCTTCAATTAGTAACATTGAGTTGTATGTTGAGACGGAAGCTATACCCATTGAAACGAGTTGAGCGTGATATTCAAGGCATTGGTTCGGATGCATTTAGGCGAGTTGACCACTCAAGAAGATAACAATTTACTTAATTCTCCTCAACATTTTGATAGAAATCATGTTTCTTTTCCGAATCATCCAACTTCTTCAATTGTTGGTGTAGTGCATAGATATGATCATGAAAGTGATGCAAGTGTGGATATGACTACAATACGGTGAATGGTTGAACATGAAAGTATTGGTATATTTAATGGTATGCATGTGAATAATAACTTAATAGAAGAAGAAGCTGATATGGGTGAGGAAAGAGAAGAATATGAAGAATCGGAAGAAGAAGATGAATACAATGAAGTTGAAGATGTAGCTATGAATGTGACATGTGATGATGGTATGGTAAATTCACAAGAGCAACCTTTTTAGAAGATCGTGGCTTAGAGAATGAGCGAGAATCAACCACGACATGAACCGGACACATCTTACTTCAAAAATATAGATTGGGTAGATACTTGCTTTGGTAAGTAATTGGACTTCATTACCCCAAAATTGTAGATGGAATCCTAATGATGAGTTGATTAAGGGGTTAATCTTTCAAAATAAGGAAGAATTACGAAGAGCAATAAAATTGTATTCCATTAAGCGACATCGACAATATAAAGTTCTTGAAACTAAAGAAAAGGTATGGAGTTTGAGATGTAAACGACATAGGGAAAATGGGTGTAAATGGAGACTTCGTGCATTCAAACGGAAGGGTCATGGATTATTTGAGATTACGCAATATGCTTGGTGCCCATACTTGTGTTTATCCAAGTCTTAGTCGAGACCATCGTCAACTAGATGCAAAATTCCTAGCCCAAGAAATAGAAGGTCAAGTGAAGGTACAACCATCTATCTCGATAACGGCTTTACGTGAACAAGTGAAGTCAAAGTTTTACTACGGTGTTTCTTATAAAAAGATGTGGCATGCAAAACGGAAAGCAATCACAAAGGTGTTTGGTGATCGGGATACATCTTATCAAGTGTTGCCAAAATTAATGGAAGCTATTCAAACATACAATGGTGGCACCATTGTAAAATGGCGCTATGATCTTTTACGGGATCCAAATTTAGCTTTGTTTAAACGTGTTTTTTGGAGTTTTTCAGCATCTATTGAGGGGTTTAAGCATTGTCGACTCGTAATTAGTATTGATGGCACACATTTATATGGAAGATATACGGGAAAGATGCCGATTGCAATGGGAGTTGATGCAAATGGACAACTTTTTCCACTTGCATTTGCTATTGTAGAGGAGGAGTCCTTTGATAGTTGGAGTTGGTTTCTAGCTTGCATTAGAGAGAAGGTTACCGATCGTAGAGGTATTTGTTTGATATCGGACCATCATGCTCGGTATTCTTGCTTGTGAGTGAATGAACATGGTTCAAGATGGAAAGAGCCTTATGCGTATCATCGTTTTTGCCTAAGGCATTTATGTAGTAATTTTAATGACGGATTTCATAGCAAGCATTTAAAAAATCTTGTTTACGGAGTCAGGAGTGCACATCAGTCGAGGAAGTTTAATGCTATTATGGATGAAATTGAAAAATCTAATTACGAGGCTCGAAAATGGCTAGAAGAAATTCCTCAAGAGAAATGGACATTAGTATACGATGGAGGTCGACGGTATGGAGTGATGACAACTAATTTATCTGAGGTATTCAATAGTGTATTAAAAGGAGCTCGTAATTTGCCAATCACTCGCTTGTGTACAACCGACATTTTATCGACCGGTAAGTTACTTTAATGATAGACGAAAACCGTCAAAGAAGTCGTTGATGAAGGAAAACTTTATGCTCCTCATATGCTAGCAAAGCTTAATGCAAAGCTAAGCGTGGCTAATGCACATGAACTCATTCCATTTAATGAGAACGAGAGGAATCTTTGAAATAATAACAACACCTCATGGTGAACGAATGCAACGGGGTCATAATAAACAAGTTGTTCGAGCTAGACAATGGTAAATGCTCATGTGGTAAATGGAAAATCTATAAATTTCCATGTTCTCATGTATTAGCGAGTGTGTGGAAGATTGGCTCTTGATAGTTGGTAATTTATTGATAAGTATTACGAGCATGCAAGAGCATTTTCATACATGGGCACCACAGTTTCATCCTATTATTCATCAAGATTATTGGCCGAAACTAGTATTCCAAGATTATATCCCGATCCCGATCTTCGACGAAAGAAAAAAGGAAGACCAAAATCTACTCGCATTCGGAATGAGATGGACATTCGGGAAGGTCGAGCCACAATACATTGTGGATTGTGTAAACAACCGAGTCACGATCGTCGAACTTGTCCGTCAAAATAATGGTAATTATTTTTTTTAAATTCAGAGTTAATATATTTCATGCTTTATAGTGGATATGCAACTAATTTGTTATCTTTTTTCTTAATATTTTACAGTTTATAACTCTTGGATGTCAAATAATGATGTGCAACAAGGATCTCTTGGTCACGGGATTCTTCATAAACAGATTCGAAAGCAAGATGACTTTTTATTTATTTTTCTCATACTTTAGTGCAATTTATTCAAAGACTATGCAGTACAATTATTTGAATTATTCGATTCTTTTATCTATAAATACAACTTTATTAAATTTAAAGTTAACATTCAAGATTATTTATTATTTGTAAAATTTTAAGACTACAATAGAAATTAAAATCAGCATCTTATTATTATTATTTTTATGAGTTTTCTTTGTTTCAATTAGTACTTGAACCAGATGGAAGCAAAAAAAAAAAAAAAACCTAGAACTCGAGCAAATGTCACACCTAGGAGGAGGAAGACGTAAGCATCACACGCTTTTTTTGGAGTCATACCCTAGATAGATTGCATAATATACAATCATAAAGCATGTAGGTGGAAAATTTGTTCATAAATTCTGATTCTCTATAAAATGATTACAGACGTTTATAGAGTTCCTAGTACTCCAAGTTTAACAAGAACTTAGATTCCTAGATAAGAAAATATTACTTATTTAAACCTACTTAATTAAGGACTGATAAGGCACAAACATAAAATAAAAGCCTAGACGTAGAAAATTTCAAGCAAATCTGGCAATTACAGAGTTACGCTTGTATAAAAAAATGCATAAAATACAAGAGTTTTGTATTTTTGTCATCAGCATCAAATGGAAAACACACTTCTGTGTTTGTCAATTTATAATTCCATTGCTGGAAAATTTTGTTGATAGATGATGGTATAATACCCCAACAGTGGAACTAGATAGTAATGATGTTTCTTTTCTCCCAAAATCCATTCTTTCCATGTTTTCTTCTTTTCCAAAGAGAGCATGGCAGTTCATGTTTTCTTCTTTTCCATGTTTGTTGGACGGTTTGGTGAGAGTCAAATATATACAGTGCTTCTCCCTGTTTCTGCAGGGTGGCTCGGTCATGCAAGCATCCATATCATGAGTTGAGATAACATTTATCTAATAGCCTTTTTGAACAAAAGCAATTCCTATAACATCCTCAGCACCAACATCCATATCAAAGAAGCTCTGCAACCAACATCAATTATCTTATTTGGAAATAGCTTTTGAGGAACCATGTTTGACTAAGAATATCATTTCTCCTTTAATTGGTAGAAATAATTTGAATGTCATCTCAAGTCATTTAAATGATACTACTGAAGCAGTTCCCGTGTCCAATCTAAAAACACAATGTATCTCAATCTATATGGGCAGTTTCTTCAGTTTTTTTGTTCTCTTCGTTTCTCGCATTTTCTTCAGTTTCATTCAAACTAATTCATGTTTTTGCAGCAGCATGCATGATATATATGGTCGTGTTTTAAAAATGTACAAGCAGTAAATAATTTACTTCTTTTCACAAGCTTATGCAATAGAAGGAAAAAACATCATTTCGTCAGCGATCAAAGGTGTTTCCTCATTGTACTTCTGCAAGCATACCTCAAAGCAGAAATTGCCATTTCCATCTGTCTGTCTGACTTGAGGTTTGACATTCTCAGGCCCATGGGTCAAAGCTACCTAAAAGTCATACATGAAAATATTTAAAAAAGTAACCAGAACCAACCATGCTAAAGACCATGCTAAAGACACCACATAAGGAAAATTAAACAAGTTATAAACCTATAGAGTATACCTCTCTTAATATTTGGATACAGGAAGGAACTATGCACAGAATGATCAAGCATTTACAAGCCTTTTCTCATTCTTCATTGAAATTCAAAGTTTTAAGTTAATGCAAGAATATCAAAATGGGAACATATCAGACTTCGTTGCAAAGAGTCGTGCTTCAGGGGATGGACTTGGTTACCAGCCATTGCATAAACTTTAAACACCAGCATGAAACTTACAGTCACATAGCACAGATGGAACATTCCAAAATTTCAGTATTTTTATCTCTATGTAACTAATGTGATCATTAGAGTAAACAAATGAACATAGGAAAAAAAGAAAAAAACAAGCAAATGACCTTCCTCATGCATCACATGATTTAATGACAGATTGGGAAAAGGAACAGTTATGTTCATTTCAAAATGGTCATTCAATCTACTGCAAGTAGAAAAAGAAAATATTTAGCATGAACAATGATGGAGTTGGATTTGGACGAGAAACTATGTACCTTTGGCTTTTGTTTCGACTAGAAGTAAAATTCGAACAACCTTAGTTTCATACATAAAATGATTCCAATTGTAATAGCAGTGTTTAAGAACTTGTATTTTTAAAAGCCATGTAATTGTCGATGGCTTTGAAAAGCAGTGATCTTGAAAATAATATAATGTGCCAACACTAATAAACGTATAAAATGCAAACATGTACAAGAAACATAAGAATATACAGTATTTAAGCCATTCCAAACACAGAACATGTCAGAGTTATTGCAAATAAAGTGAAAAGGATTACCTGGGCATCATGAGGACTAATCAGAGTGCTATCAATGTTCAATGTTTCTGTTAATAGGACCAGATATCTTGATTTTTTCTTCAATAGGATAAATTTATGTGTGCACATCAAGCAGCATATACAAATCTTCCTTCTTACTGCGTGCTACAACACGAGAAACTACAAAAGCACAGTTTACACGTTCAAAATTTCACTTCCAGTGCCAAAAAAAAGTACAGAAATTCATCAATCTTATTAGTTCCATCAAGTTTTGCAAAAGAAAAGTCTAGATATGCCAAATAGATTATCAGATAAAACCAACTAGAACTGCAGCAGGGAGAGTTTTAGTAATAATTCAGTTAAATACCATACAGTATAAATATCTCACAATAGAAGGTCAAATTTCAACCCGACATGTTATAAATTTTCCAATTTTTTTCAATATTTGAAAAACCCCATTGCAGTAGAGATCGAAGCAAACATTAATTTCTCATTTCCTTCAAGGTAAAACTACACGCCACAACAGAAGGCTCTTTTATGCATACCAATTTAATAGTAGTAGAAATTCCAAAACAAAGCCAAAAATGTAACTAAAAAGCAATTCTTTGTCAAATCAAGTTGTTAATTCAACCATAAAGCAACATTTAGCACATAGGAAACTACTAAGTAATAACAACCCAGAAAAGAACTGAGAAAAATAAAGTGATCAAACTGAATAATACAGTGTAAGAGCTACTTGAATTTAAAGGAAGAGAGAGAGAGACAGAGCATACCTTTATCATACTTCTTGCCATCAGGGTTGAGTTTTTCAATGACAACGAAGTCAAGCAAATCTTCAATCATCTTTGCAAGATACTCTGGGTTTTATGCATGCCTGTTTTCATTTAAGCTTTTGTTGGGTGTATATTTCAATATGTTTCTATCTATATATTGATGATGTATTTAGCTTTGCTAACTGAGATGCTTTTTCTTTTTATATATGAAAGAAACAGAAAAAAGAAAGAAAAAAGAAAAAGAGAGTAAAAATAACTAACCCTGAAATGTGGAATTGAAAGCCGAGAGGACTGAGGAGTTTTATTGTTAGCAGCGCTGCTGCAGTAGCAGGAGGAGGAGAACTTTGGGTTGTAAAATGGAAGACGAAGAACTTATAATCTAGGATGATAAAATAATTTTTTTAAAAACAAATAAAGCTGATATGTAAAATGATTTATTATTAGTATTTAAAAATTGATATGTGTACAAAATTTAATCTATGTGGTAAAAACTATCTTATTTTAATAAATAAGATTAAAACAATCTTATTTTTGTAAATAAGTTTTATAAGTATCCTGTTTTAAAAAAAAACTCCCGAAATGTGTTCACTGCTTTGCCTGTCATAAAGTTTTGCAAATTGCCATGGAATCCATTAGTGGTGGCGGATTTCTTGGAATCTTGAAGTCTGATGTGACATTCCGTACTAATTAAACACCTCGTAGTTTAACCGTCCTTTGATGATAAATTTTATCTCTTGTTATATTATGATTTATCAATTTTAAATTTATAATATTAAATTACATAATCTAAAATTAAAATTTTAAAAATTTATCAATTATGATTTAAATTGTTTAATTTTTATTTCGTGTAAGGAACAATATTGAGATTGGATCTAAAATTTATCCATCTCTCTATATCAAACTATTTTATCCATTTATGTAGAAGCAAATTCTAGAATCCTATTTCAAATGGTTGATACTAAAAATTAAACTAAATTGAAGATTCTGATTTCATTTTTGTCAATTTTTTTCAAATTGCTTTTTTAAAATTGAATTGGGTCTTTTTTTTTATTCGATTTTTAAAATTTTTTATTTGAATTCCATCGAAAAGTGAATAACACATGTATAATTCACTTTTCGATGGAATTCAAATAAAAAACTTTGAAAATCAAATCAAAATAATAATAATAATAATAATAATAATATCAGTATCTGTTAAGATATTTATTTATAATCTTATATTAAGAAACCATAAAACTATCTTATTAGTTGAATCCTTTATTTATTTTTTATTGTTAAATGAATTTTAGTAATAATTTATAGATTTTATTATTTTACATGGATGTTTGATGCTATTTTGTAAGCAATTAGAACTTTAGAATGATATTTGTTACATTTTTTTAAAATAAAATGGTAAATATATCAACAAGAAAAGCAATACTACCTATTTCCCATATAAATAATTTAATAATAATTCAAACATCTTCAATTGGAAATTTGGCAGTTTAGAAGTCCATTTATCAAGCAATACTCGAACTTTATGCCCCTTCCCTCTTGAACTTGCTCAACAACTCCTCTAGCACCGTGGATGCTAGCTTCTCCATGTGTAGCTCGATCTGAATATAATATGATCTGCAACAATATCAATTGTAGTATGGAGTAGATTTTTTACTAGCGTTACGTTACGGATAGGATAAAATATATCAAATTATTTAAAAAAATTATTTTAATTTGATAATCTGTTTTATGGTGTGAATGTATAAAAATATATCAAATCAAAGGTGAAAAAATATTTTAAATTTTTTAATATAATTTGAAATTAAATAGATGAGAATTTTTTTAAAATAATAAATTAAAGTAGTAAATTTTAAATAATAAAAATAATCAATAAAAAAACTAAAAAAAATGGGATCAAAATATAACACAATTAAAGTTTGAAATTAAAAAAATATATATATTGTATAAAAAAGTTGAGGACTATATAATTTTAAATTAATTGGATGAGAAAAGAATGAATAATATTAAAATAAATGAAAACTATCATTAAATGTAATTTTAAATTAATTAGATGAGAATTTGAAAAAAATGGAAAATTAAAGTTATATATTTTAAATAATTAAAATAATTAAAAAATAAAAAAATGGGCTAAATCACAATACAATTAAAGTTCAAAATTTTTCAAAAAACATTATATAGAAAATTTGAGGACCATATAATTTTAAAGTAATTGGATGAATATTAAAAAGAAAAATAACAAATTAAAGTAGCAAATTTGAAATAATAAAAATAATGATGAAAAACCACTAAAATAACATATGACCAAATTACAATATAATTAAAATCTGAGATTAAAAAAAAAAAAAGATACTCGCGCTATGGTGCGATAAAAGCACCGTTGCATACGTCAAATTAACTATTCGTATGATGCAGCGTGAACATACGTTTTATTTCTACTCGATTGATGTAAATGGAATCTATATGTTGAGCGAAATCGTTTCATTTATATATATTTATTAACAAAATATTTAATAATATTAACATGAAAATTTATATTTAAATAATTAAGCGATTCTTTCAAAACATTATCTAACTTATTTTATTAAAAACTAAATAAAAAATAATTAGTGTTATATGTGTAGATATATAGTTAATTTCTAACAAAATTAATGATGCACACACGATATATATATATATATATATATATATAAAAGCAAATAAAACTCGTGAATTCTTTTACTCGATTATTAATTTTTTATAAAAAACCAAATTTATTAACAAATAAGATCATATAAAAAATAAACGTGATTAGAATTTTAATAAGAAATAAATAATTTAAAAAATAATTTTTAAACAATAAAAGTAATGTAATCGGATATACATCTTCAAACTAAAATCTAAAAAAAAAAAATATCATATATATTCTATCATCTAAAAAATATAACGATTTATTTTTTGTGTTTTTCACACCTAATCACACACACACACACACACACACACACACACATATATATAAAGAAAAAAAGACACACACACACACACACCTAATACACACTCACACACACATAATTTTTTGTATAAATTATAACAATATATTAATATATTAAATTTTAATAATAAATAAATAATTAAAAAATAAATTTAATATAATTAGATATGCTCTCTCTCTCTCTCTAGCAAATAAAATCGTATAAAAAAATTAATTTGATGTGAATTTTAATAAAAAATAAAAATTGAAAAAATAAATTTAATATAATTAGATATGTTTGCTCTCTCTCTCTCTCTCTCTCTCTCTCTCTCTCTCTCTCTCTCTCTCTCTCTCTCTCTCTATATATATATATATATATATATATATATATATATAAGGAGAGAGAGAAGCGCTGGTCGCGAGCCAACCAGGACAGTGCGCTTGGTTGGCTTGTGCAACCGGGGTACACAATATTAAAAAAAAAAAAAAAATTGAGGGAGGCCGGGCGTGGTTAGCTCTGTGCGAGCGAGCTAGTGCGCTTGGGCCTACCATTGTAGGCCTACGCTCCGGGCCTTACCCGTCGAAAAAATAAAATCCTATAACTTTCGTCAAACCCGAGGTCGTTGGAAGTTCGTCAAAAAATCAAAGGTCAACTTTCAAACCCTTAGAAATTGAATTCCGGCATCATTTTTTTATTCAAACACCTCTAAATGACCGGAATAAAGCTAATAAACATATCTAAAACCTTAAAAATCATTTTAATACACCCAAAAACAAAGAAAAATATAAAATCAAATTGGATTTTTTTTCCTTTTTTGGCTTCGATCTACTTCCTCTAATTGTTTAATGACTTGAAACCACTATAGACAAACTCATCTCTCAAAGATAAAAAAAATCTAGTAGATTTTCATCGACGAGAGTGGCCTAAATGAGTTTGGCCGATGATCTCTCTCTCTCTTCCTCTCGGCATTCTCTCTCCACCCGGGGAATAAAATGGATGAGCAAATGAACATGTGGATCGAAATATACGTTCGAAAATATCAAAGATCAAAGTGTAAAAAAAATCATGAATAGTGAAAGTAACAATGAATTATGAGAGGGTGAATAGTAAAATGTGATTGTGTGCACAATGTTTTAAATAGTGTAGCTATAGTAACCAAACGTTTTACTTTAGTTTATTAGTTAATACCTACTTTATACTTTATTAACATCCATTTACATTTTTAGGGAAAAAAAAGTTAACATACAAGGACGGTATTGCACAAACTTTATAAATTAAAGATCAAATATTTTTATCAAAACTATAAGGATTTAAAAAAAAAACAGTAAATAAAGGACCAAATTGTAAAAAAGTTATGTTTAGAGACCAAAAATAAATGTTTTGAAACATCTAAAAAAGACTAGAAAAGAAATATTTTGACAAATTATTTTTAGCAAATAAACCATGTATCTGCTTGAGTATATAAAATAATTTCTTAATAGATATGTACAAACTACTTTTTTTACTCCTTCAATATAAAAACATTGTCTATCTTTCTCAAATGATTGTCTCATCAAAATTTTTAATATATTTTTTTAAATACTCTTATTTTGTAAAAGAGAATTAAATTAGATATATTTTCTCCTTAAACAAAAAATAATATTTTAAGTATTGCTAAAAAATATTGATATAGTATTATAATTAATAAGTTTTTTAAATTGTGTGAAAAGTCAAAAGAGAATATATAACACCCCTAACCTAGGATCTAATAGGTTAAGAATATTATCACCGTTAACCTACATTCGAAGTGCAATGAATGTAGGTTAACAAGACACTCGTGATTTATTTATAATACTTTTAGGTATAAATTACACTCGCAAAAGTCTAATAATGACAATTAGGTCCTATTTCTTAGTTCAAAATGCAATATGAATTTTTTTGTATTTTATTATTTTATTTAAATTCTATGAACCAAATTAATTGAATCTATGACTCTTAGTTTTCCTAAATTCCTTTGCTTTTAACATATATAAATTTATTTAAGCACGATCCATTACTTGATACTTACTTATTTTTCTTTTAATTAATTCACCTTTTATTTTAATTACCAATTGTTTTCGCCTTGTTATTTGATGATTGATTATTAGTTACCATTTACCTCAATCAATGTTCCGATTTACTTATACTCGCTAATATGGAAATAAATAGTTTAGAGAAAATTACACTAATTACGATTACACTACTATTTTACTATTAATATTTTATTTACATACATACCACTATTCGCATACAAGAAAAACCAATCTAATGCAACATATTACCAAAGTGGCTTATTTATTGGTCTACATCATATTAGCAATTTCCTATCTATTTTTTTCATTGCTTTAAGTATAGCATAAAAAAATCCAACTAACCATAATACATAGATGACAAAAGCTAATACTAGGAAGAAAACAACGTGGAGTAGGTCGACCTAAAAGCTAAATTCCCATCCAAGGTATAAACATCGAGTACACCCTTCGGAGATCAACTCAATGAAAAAATAAGCCATGATTACCTTTATTATCTACATCACAAAAAATTAGGTGAGCGACAACTCAATAAGTTAACTTATGCATGTCGTGCTTATGAATGAATATGCATGTGTAAAACATTGATATGCTCATGTTAAATCCATTTCATGTCATAAATACTTTCATGATAATTTTGAAAATCCTTTTCCGTCTTTAGACATGTCCCATCACAAGTACTTCGGGGTTTCCATAATATGTCCGGATAACCAAACCCATTTGAGGACAAGCACTACCTAACCTCTAAAAGTGCACGTCCGCAATTGCCCAATCTTGAACCATCTACCATAAAAGTATGGAAAACCCAAGAATTCCTTCCTCATAAAATTCTTCAAAGTCATGAAAAACATTTTTCATAAAATTTGAGCACGTATATGCATTTTATTGAAATGCATAACCATTCATGCTTCATGAAATACATACTACCAATGAGATGCATAACCATTCATGCTTCATGAAATACATACTACCAATGAGATGCATTGATACCATAACATAGAATAATTTAATAATAAAGTACGTTATGAACATTACCTTAAACAAACATAATTATAAACTATTCTAAACAATCCATCATTTCAAACAATTCACAATTCACCATATCACATTTTAAGCAATAAACTTTCATAGGCATTAAATTGTAGCATTCATACTTCACAAAGACATAAACACATCATTCACATAATTTGGCATCAAAAGAATGTAATTACAATTAGGTTATACCAATTAAGCCTTAAACCCTAAATTATTCCAATTAAGTCGAATAGTAACCCTAGCTTAACCTAACCATGTTCAACACCCATTTCTTATGTAATTCTACTTAATTTAATCATAACTTCAAGAACTAACTTAATTAAGTGCTAATTGATGAACTATATGTATGATTCCACTTTGGGCCTTATTGGGCCTAAACCATAACTTTACTAATATAAGCAAATTTTTAGATTTCAATGAAATTTCTTATTCTCATTCATCTCATTACACTTTCCTAGGTCTAAATTAACTAATTGAAGTGTTAAGGATCAATTGAAATCTAAATCCTAATTTCCTCCATTTTGGGTCGAATTCTCCTTTAACCATAACCCAATTATTATTTTTTCTCAATCCATTGCTAAATTCTAAAAAAAAAAATTAAATCATAAATTATAAATAGGAAGCAATTTAATTGATATTTATAGAAAAAATACATGCCTAAACCCTAATTAGGCCATAATGGGCCGAGATTGGGCCTAACCTAAATTCAAGCAATTTTCTTTAACTTTCCTAGAGTTTTTCTTTCCTAATCATTAAATTATACTCATTCAACTATCAATCGACTAATAATTCATGAATTGAGTGAAAGAATCAAAACCCTAAGATTTTAGGTTTTGGGCCGAATGCTAACCATAAGAAATTCATTGAATTTTCTTCAATTTAAATGAAAATTTTCATTCCTAAACACTAATTCACACCTAATTAAGTTATAAGCAAGCTATAGAACAATAATTAAATTCAAAAATAAAAAAGCCCTTAATTACCATTTTGGGCCCAATGATCACCTATACCTAACCCTCGAAATTTTTAATTTCTAAACCTCAAATTTAAATTCAATTAACATGTTTCAACCTTAATTACATGAATCATTAGCTTAATTTCATTTTCTCTAATTTTTCTTCACCAAGAACACTAACCCTAATTTTCAAAATTAAAGCTAAAAATCACAAATTAAAGCATACAAATCACAAATTGACATCAATCAAATACTTCTTTTGATGTAGGTGAAGTTAACTTACTCAATTAAGCTCCAAATCAACCTTGGAAACTTAGATGATTTGAAAATTTTCTTTCCCCTTTTTCCTCCATTAATTCAACCTAAGTCCAAGTTTTTCTCCTTGATAAATTTGATCTTCTAGCTTTATTTCCTTGCTTGGTTAGTTGATTTAAAGTGTTTAAAGGTGATTTAGTGGATTTTTGGTGGAAATTCCTAAGAAAATTTTGCAAGAGTTTCCTTTGGATTTAGCTAATTTCCATGCATTTTTTTGAATTTCTTGCACCCATATTTATAGCCAAAATTTGGTGGACGTTTGACCTAATCTCTACCCTTGATTTTATGTGATTTTGAGTGATCCTAACCCTAAAATTAATTTTAAATCCTACCCCTTCAAATGGATTAATTTTAGCCATTAACTCTCCTTTGATTTTTAGCCTTCCATCTTGCCTAATTCTAAACTCTCCTTTTTATCCTAGTAAAAAATAATTAATTAACCCCTAATTATGGAGCTAAAATTCGACTAGAAAGGTAGAAAAGTTCTCAAAATTTTGCTTAATTTTAGCTCCTCCTTTTACTAATCTTTTCTCTAATTACTTCTCCAATCATCCTTCAATTTTTCAATTAATTACTTTAGGCCCTTCCTTTAAAGATATCTTAACAACTTTTTAACTCCTTAAGTTCAAAGCTAATTTAATTTAAAAATTTAAACTTTCTATTTTATACAATTAGGTCCCTAACTCTCAAAATTTTTTCTATACTTTTCCAAAATTCAATTTCTCTTCATAATAATTTCAAACACTTCCTAAAAGAATTTAATCATGATTCACATAATTTTTATACCTTTATTTAGGCCTCCAAATTAATTTTCTAGTGTGGAAATACACAATTTTCTATAGAAAATATTCCTTATTCATAGAAAAATTTATCTAAAATTATAAAATATTCCTATGCATCTAAATGATTTTCTATATCCTTTGGATAATTTTCTTATACTTTTAAAGTATCTAAATTATTTAGTTTACCTAAAAAATACTATTCATGCACACTAAAATTCAAATAAAATATTCACCACATATCGGAAAATTCATACAACAACATAAAATAATTTAACATCCCTCTAACAAATATTCTAAGCAAACAAAATATTTTTCATGCATATATAATATGTTCAAAATAATTATTTCACACAAAAATTACTATTCATGCATTGTAAAATCAATAAAATATTCATTGAGCATCAAAGGACTATTTTAACTCGTTCGGGATATTCTTTAAAGCCTTTGTGAATTATTTCATGCCTTCAAAATATTTCTCACATGTTTTTAATATTTAATTTTATTAAATATTTAGTTTTAACGGCTATCGGTTATTACATCCTTCTCTTCTTACAAAAATTTTATTCTCGAAATTTCTAATGAAATTTCTATATAGTCGGAGTAATTATTTTTTTATTTTACAATAACTAACTAAATAAAAAATGCTCGATTTTTTAGAAAAATATTAAATACACAAAGAGGAGTGATAGTAATCTAACACTCTTTTTAAACACTTATTCAATAAAAGAGTCCATATGAAAAATTTTAATATAATTTTAAAAATAAATAAATAAATAAATAAAGGTATTTCAGTTTTATATATATCATAAGATTAATTATAATTTAATTTTTTTTTAAAACAAGAAGCATTGATTATTTTTTGTTTATTATTATTTAAGGTTGATATTTTTATCAAATAAGTATTTAAAAGAGAGTTTTTTTTTTTTAAATGTTGTTTGCAATCACCGACACACAAATTATGTATTTTTATATCCTAGGTGGTAGGTAAACATCACTTCCCAGATTAATGCTTTACGTGTTTCACAGGGACCGAAAATGCGTTCACCACAAACGTTGCTTTGCATGTCATTAAGTTTTCCCAATTGCCATGGAATCTATTAGTGGTGTCGGATTTCTTGGAATCTTTGAAATTTGATAGTGACATTACAATTACAATATAATTAAAAGAAGTATGGTAAACAAACAGTAAAATACTATTTATTAACTGTTCATTTACCTTAATTCACTATTCATTATATGGTATTTCTATAATTTTTGTAATGATATTTTCATAAATTTTTATAACTTTGGACATTCATTTTTAAAATTTACACTTTATTCTTTTTTGGCCTCTTATGTTTTCAAAATTAATTTTTTAAATCCTCATATTTTTAAAAATATTTTGACATCTCATGTTTTTAACTTAATCTATTTTTTTTTAATATTTTTTCAAAATATATTTTTTGTTCCTCATATTTTAAAAAGATGTTTTTGGCTTCTTATGTTTTTAAATTTTAGAATATATATATATATCGGATTATATTTTTTATTGATTAAAATTAATCTCTTAAATTTATCGTTTATTATAAAAATTCTCATCAAATTAAATTTTTAATTTTTTGTAAATTTTTTTTGTTAATAAATATGATTTATCTTTCTCTCGTGTATGAATTTTTAATATGTTTTTTTTTAATAAATAATAGAATTAATGTGTTTCTTTAACTTATTTTTGATATAATCATTTTTTTTTGGAATTAAATTTTAAATTATTTTTATTATATTCTATTAACTTTAATATATTTCTTATAACTTAAGTTTTTTTGAACGTATTTTTTAATTTATACGGATATGGTAATGATGTACACAAAAAAGTATTGAGATCATTGATTTTATTAAAAATTAATTTTGCATTTACACATATAAAATCAGCTATTTCCTATTATTTATTTTTAATATTTTAAATTTAATTTATTTCAAATAAAATAATATTTTAAAGGAACCATTTAATAATTCAAATACATGTTTTTATACCTAATATTATTGATTGTTTTATGTGTGTGTGTGTGTGTCTATATATCAAATGTGTATATTTTTAGAAAGTTTTAAAAAATTCATTAGTTAATTTTTATATGAATTTTTATATATTGCTGATATATTTCTCTTATATAGCCTTATAAAAAAATATTGAGATATTTTTAAAATTTTTATATTTATATTATTGTAGGTTTTTATTTAAAAATGATTGAATAGAAAAAAACGAATTGTGTTTTTTTAACAACAAAATCTATGAAAAACATAAAGAAGCAAGAATGAAATACAAAATTTGATTAAAAATTATAAAATTAAATAAAATTTTTATCTTTTGTTTTTAATTTAATATATATTAGTAAGAAAAAATTAAAAGAACTCGAGATATTTATTATTTTTTTAAACTTAGATTAACTATTCATTGTGTTGCTTGATTTTTGTCCCTACCTTTTTGTTAATTTCTCTTTTGACACTTGATGGATTTGAGAAACTTCATTTTTCCCTTGACTCGATTCTCTTTTCAATTTTATTTTTGAACCTTTTTTGTCATTTCTTCTTTTTTTTAGATTGACTATTTAATGCTCTTGTCTTCTTTTAATTTTTTTTTTCAACAGGGAAGCCAAAGTCACTTGCTATTCAAGAATGATTATAAATTCGTGCCTCTTTCTTCAAGAAACAAATTAATTAGTCCATGTGGTTCAAAAAATTATTTTTTTCCCCTTTTCTTCTATTTCAATGTTTTTGTTTTTTGTTTTAAAAAATAGAGAAATAATAAAAAATAATAAAAATATGAAAAGAAGACATTTTATAGAATAAAAAATAAATTATTCATGGTCAACATTGATTAAAAAATTAAAAAATTTATTTTCGAAACCAAAAGAATGAATTAAATCATTTCTCAAAACGAGATGGAGCAATTTATAATTTAATTTGCTCGTTCAAGAATCTCTTTATCATGGATTAAGAAGTAAAATTTATAGAAACCAATTTGTAGCGAGCTTTTATTTCAATTTATTGAGTTTAATATATTCCATACAACTTAGATATTTATATATCATTAGTTTTGTTAGAAATTAATTATGTATATGCTTGCGTAACACCATTAGCCCCTTTGGTTTAAAAACTATATTTTTTTTATCCTTTTTGTTATTTCAATGTTTTTATTTTTTGTTTTAAGAAACAGAGAAAGAAAAAAATATGGAAAAAATTATTTTTTAAAATAAAAATAAATTATTCGTGGTCAACACTAATTAAAAAAAATTTAAATAATTTATTTTTCAAATCAAAATAATTAATTCATTATTTTTTCAAAACGAGAAGAACTAATCTATAATTTAATTTGCAATTCAAGAATCTCTTTCATCATGAATTAAGAAGTAAAATTTATGAAAACTAATTTTTTAATAGTTTTTATTTCAATTTATTAGCTTTAATATATTCCATACAACTTAGATAGTTATATATATATATATATATATATATCATTAGTTTTTTTGAAAATTAATTATGTATCCGAATACATAACACCATTGGTCCCTTCGGTTTAAAAACTAATTTTTTTTATCCTCTTTACTATTTCAATGGTTTTATTTTTTGTTTTAAGAAATAGAGGAAGAAAAAAATAAGTAAAAATATGAGAAATTTTTTAAATAAATAATAAATTATTCGTGGTCAACACCGATTAAAAAAATTAAAAAATTTATTTTTGAAACCAAAAGAATTAATTAATTTATTCTTCAAAATGAGATGAACTAATTTATAATTTAATTTGCAATTCAAGAATCTCTTTCATCATAAATTAAGAAGTAAAATTTATGGAAACCAATTTTGTTATGGTTTTTATTTTAATTTATTGACTTTTGTAATGGTTCTCGTTGAAAATTAATTATGTATCCGCATACATAACATTAATTATTAATTATTTATTCTTTTTTAGGTTTTAAAATCAATATTTTTTTAAATAAAATAATTGAAATATATATCATTAGTTTTGCTAAAAATTAATTATGTATTTACACACATAACACCAATTATTTGTTATTTATTCTTTTTTATATTCTAAAATCAATATTTTTTAAATAAAATAATTGAAATAATGTTTTGAAAGAACCTTTCAATTATTCAAATATAACTTTTTATGTTAATAATATTGATTATTTTATTAATAAATATATATAAATTAAAAGATTTTTCTTAGCAAATAAATTTAATATATATTAATTATAAGAAATAAGATTTTTATCTGTATTATATCATACGAATTGTTAACTTTACGTATATAACAGTTATTTGATCATAACGTAGTGTGGATGTCCAATTAGTTCAGTACTAAATAAACATATGTTTCCACACTAGTTTGACTATCATCCAGTTCCTGGACGTCTCTATTGAAGGGTGGCTATCTCCCACATGCTAGTTAAACCGCCCTTTCCACATTTTTTCGTGTTTCACATGGACGTGTCTATTGAAGGGGCCATCTCCCATGTTACACTATTTGTCTATTTATGCATAAGCAAATTATTATTACTAGACATTATATCCTCACCGCAACAATCACCGTATCATTATATTATCACTTCTAGTACTATCATTGCAATGTGAACGAGCCAAGTCAAAAATTGAAATCAGTTGAGCAATAGAAGCCATGAATTTAAGTCTAGGACGTTTAGCTTCATGTTTTTTTTGTTCTTTTTATAAATGACTACGACAATTCACAACCATACGCCACGTAATCAAATATGAATGTGACTAAATTCAGTCTCTATGATCACAAGCTAGCCTCTCGTTAATGATAAATACACAACACTCTCAAGAATAATTCCCCGGCCAGAACCAAATATTTTTTTCCCACACTTGCTAAAACAAGTGTCTTGCTTATTATAGTGTGTTGGTGCCATATTGGCTTCATTTCCATCAAAAAATTCATTCTACTGTGGACACCATGCAACCACTAGCTACCTCCCTAGTAGTGTTAAAGGTTAACAGATCTGAACCCGAATTAATCAAACCGGCCAATCCCACCCCTCATGAGTTCAAACTATTATCTGACATTGATGATCAAGAAGGTCTCCGATTCCAAGTTCCAGTCATTCAATTTTATCGCAACAATCCCTCTATGGAAGGGCAGGACCCAGTTAAGGTCATTAGAGAGGCACTTGCTAAAACTTTAGTGTTTTACTATCCATTTGCTGGTAGGCTTAAGGAAGGGCCTAATCGCAAGCTTATGGTGGAGTGCACTGGTGAGGGTATCTTGTTTATTGAGGCTGATGCCGAGGTTACACTTAAGCAGTTAGGCGATGCACTTCCACCTCCATCTTTTTGGTTGGAGGAGCTACTCTTTGATGTCCCTGGTTCCAGTGGGATGTTAGACTGCCCTTTATTGCTTATTCAGGTAATTATCCTCACTAAAAGTTTCCTCATCCATATGTATGATGTGTGGGTAACGGAGTAAATTATAATTATTCTCTAGAGAAACAACGAATTGATTAGTTTTTTTTAAAAAAAAAATTTAAAAACTAATCATTTAAAATATTATAAATTTTATGAGGTTCGCCAAATTAACACTTAATATCTAAAATATTTTTAACATTATATATTCATTTTTAGAGACAAGTTTTGTTACTTGAGAAAAAAAAAAGACTAGAGATTAATAAAATAAAAAGTAGAGGTTTGAAAATTTGTTTTAATGTTTGATGGTAAAGAAAAAGTGACTAATTAAGTTTCCAACCAATAAAATTCCATCAGTCACATATGTGGTTCATCTATCCCTTCCGTGTATGTTTCATCCATATCGAGCGTTTAGCTCTAATTAAGTATCCAAAAATACAATATTTTTTCAGAATTTTAATTGTCTAGTCGTTCGATCAAAATGAATGTTAAATTTCTATTATTTACAAATAAATAATCATTATTATATTTTAATAATATTAAATTTGAACTAGTTTGGCCTAAAGGACAACTCAGTGATCTATGAAAGATTAGATATATTTTTACACTAGCTTAGCTCAAGAAGTGATGAAGTTTCATTTCATGAGAAAACCAACCCGAAATATATACCATTACCTGTAAATATTTTTTAAAAATACCTTTCAAATTGAATTAAGCTTAGTTTTCAAAATGTTAGTGAACTGTTGGTATTTTATTCCTCAAACATTTGTTATATTCAATTTTTTCTCTCTCTCTCAAATTCTGAAAAAATAAAAATAAAACAAAATCCTAAAATACCCTTCTTTTTCTCTGCTTCTTGCTCTTATTATTATGCTAAGAAAATTTCATAAATTTTTTTCTTAGGTTTGGATTTGAAATAAATTTTCATAATAAATTTTCGAAAAAAAATTACTTATGTTCTTTGATCCTATTCTTTAAAAAAAAAAAAAAAAAAAAAAATTGGTTTGAATTTGAGAGAAAGTAAAAAAAAAAATATTGAGGGATGAAATTAAATATTTATTTTTGTACATAAATGTAAAGAAAAAAAAGGGGGAATTTTGGATTTTTTTTATTTTTTCAGATTTTTTAAGAATATTTTTAATTTTTTTTAAAATACCATGTGTCAGCATCATGTGAATTTGTCGTTGGAAATTGATGTGATTACTGAAAAATTTGAATGAAGAGATGAAATTAAGAAGCAAATTAAGAATAAAGGGACATGATTATTAAAAAAAAAAGTAATAGAAAGATATGATTAAAATAAAATAGTAGATGAACATCTCGATCTTTAATCCATTTAAAAATATATAAAAATATTAATTAGTTTTTAAAATTAGAGAGACTATTCAATTTGTTTTGAAAAACTAGGACTAATTTATAATTTACTCAACTATAAGATGTTGACATTAATATTAATGCAATTGTTGGTAGGTTACCAGGCTTGAGTGTGGTGGTTTCATCTTCGCCCTCCGCTTCAACCACACGATGAGCGATGCCCAAGGCATAGTCCAATTCCTAACCACCTTGGGCGAAATGGCGTCTGGGGTGTCTGCACCTTCCATTCCACCTGTTTGGGAAAGACATGTCTTCAATGCACGTGACCCTCCACGGATTACATGCTCGCACCCAGAGTACGATGAAGTTCCTGACACCAAGGGTACGATGATCCCACTTCATGAAATGGTCCACCGTTCATTTTTCTTTGGACCTTCAGAAATATCTGCTATTAGAAAATTGGTTCCACCTGACCTAAGCCATGGCTCTACTACTTTTGAAATATTAACTGCATTTCTCTGGAAATATCGAACAATTGCAGTCCAGCCAGAGGCAAGTGAAGAAATGCGTTTAATGTGCACTGTCAATGCACGTGGAAAATATAACCTTGTAGAATTACCAGCAGGGTACTATGGTAACAGTTTTGTTGTACCGGCAGCAGTGGCAGCTGCTGGAGAGCTGTCTCGAAATCCACTAGGTTATGCCCTGGAATTGGTAAGAAAGGCCAAGGAAAATGTGACCGAGGAATACATTCGTTCGGTGGCATCTTTGATGGTGATTAGGGGAAGACCCCATATAACGGTGGTAAGGGCCTTCGTGGTATCGGACTTAAGACGTGCAGGGTTCCAAGAGGTTGATTTCGGGTGGGGAAAAGCTGTCTATGCGGGGGCTGCTAGAGGTGGAGGTGGGGCCATCCCTGGAGTGATAAGCTTTTACAACGCATTTACAAATGAGAAAGGAGAAAATGGGACTCTGGTGCTAATTTGCTTGCCGGAGACTGCAATGGAACGATTTGTCAACGAGCTAGACAGAACGTTGAAGGTTGGCTAAGTATCCAAATTTATCATTATCTACTATGTATAATAATTAATTTTCCCTTCGTTCCTCAATAATATTCCTTTCATTATAATCAAGAGGTTGTCGTATTTTAATTTTTACTTGAATTTAAAAAATTATTAATTATTATGTTATGTCAATAGTTTTTATTCATTTTTTATTTATTTTAGAATTGTATTTAGTAAAAGCTTTTGTAAAATAAACTTAAAAAATATATCACTTAAATTTGATTGGACAAATATTTTAAATCATATATGATACATAATTTTTTTTTTAAATAGGGAATATAATTAATTACCAGAGAAATACACTACCATCTATGAAGCTTTATGCAATAATCGAAAGCCATTGCAAAATAACATAAAATCATTGTATTTAACCTAATGCAACGGTTTATCAGCCGCTACATCCTACCAATGTTGCAATAGATTAATGCAATGGTTTCCATATATAATAGCAATGAAACACTTTTCATTGCATAATATCGTTCAATTACAATAGTTATCTTATTACTTTAGACAATGATTTTGATACGCTATAGTATTAGTTTAAGTCAAAATGTATGCAACGGTTCTTATAATATATGCAATGGTTATTGAGATGTTTTACACAAAGGTTTTAATCAACTAATGCAATAGTTTATCTAATATTATGTAGCGATTTATATTAATTGGCGGTGGTTTTCCGTTGTATTATGCGGTAGTTTATTTGTTTTTTCAATGTAATAATTTTTCTATATAAAACTACCTCTTTATATCTATAATGCAAAGGTTTATTATAGTAATGCAACAATTTATAAATTATTAAATACAATAATTTTCAATATTATTGCAATTGATTTTTTTTTCTAATTGCAACATATTTTTAATCAAATGCAATGATTATCATGTTATTTGTAAAAAAAATTTAAAAATAATTTCAAATATTAATTAATTAGAAAAGTAATAATCTAAGCGAGTTTCTTAACATAATTGTAAACATCGGGTAATCTATTACCATAAGAATAATAATCCAAATATCTAAAAAATATTATCAATATTTGAAAAAAATATATTCAAAGTTCCTACTAGACAAATTTAGTAGTTGCCTTCCAAATTCAAGTGGTTCATAACACTAGGCAACCGGTAATTTTAGGAAGAAAGATTTATTAGTAATGAAATACGGTAATTATAATAATTGAACTTGTATTTTTATCAAATAACAAATATAAAAATTAGTAGTACCTAAAAATTATGATTGATGCCCGATGAATGTGAATTCCTTATATAATTCCCTATATTTGGTGCGTTATTATCATCTTCTAGAGATCGAGTAGTTATAGCTAATGTCTTGAACGTCTTAAAATTCACATTTAGGCTTAGGTTCAAACCTTGAAGTCGTGTCGAACCGATAGCATTATTTCTTGATGCAACCGGCTTTCTGCTCTTCTAGCTTTTCTTCCATTTTTGTTATTCTATAATTTCCTATCGCATCTTTTCTTCTACTTGTATTTTAGCAAGGTCCGCCTTGCTTTTCAAATCAGATGGTGTGACACTTTTTCTATATAACATAACACATCTAGGTCGCACCCCCATCACCACGGAAAATGCATTACTAGATTCACCACTTTCACTTGAATGTTGAAACTCCACTTCTCACATTTGAGCTCGTAATGGAATCATAAGTTCCTTAAAAATGCATTCCATAGAGTAGATGATAAAGCAATTAAAATATCCAATAAGATTGTAAAAATAAGGGAATGAAAAATTAAATAAGATGACAACGATTTTAGTAAGAAATTTAACAAGGAGAAGCGGATACCAAACTTCCAAGCGAGTAATTAATCATCTAAATTTTACAAACCATATTAGCAACCAAGCGAGTAGCACACAAACGGACAAGCAAAGTAATGTTTCTTACCAATTTCTTTCTTATCCTAGTGAAACTCCTTTTACTCATTGTGTGCATATTCTTTTACCATTTGTGATTTTCAACATTTATCTTTGTTATCGTCTATATAATAATTTTAATTAATAGCATAGCATAAACTTTCATGTTATAATCAAATGATAGAGCAAGTAGTGATAAAAATTAAAAACTCTTATACCTTGGCATTATCTTAATTCTAATACTTCAGACAATTCTCTAAACGTATCATCTT